TAAGCTTTGTGAAATCAGCTTTCTTATAGATGAAAACTTTGTAGTGGCAATCGACTTATCAAAGGCATTTGATTCTATATGCCACAATTTATTACTGGCAAAATTAAAAGCATACGGCCTTCAAGACTCGGCCCTGCAATTGATGCGTTCATACGTGCAACCTATTCGTTGCGGTGTTCCGCAAGGAAGCCTACTGGGACCTTTATTATTTAACATCTTTGTAAACGATGAGAATTATACAGTTAGATATTCATCCCTTCGTTTATATGCTGACGATACCACCCAATATGCCCATGATACTAGCCCTGCTATTCTTGAATATACCTTCAATCAGGATATCTGTGCACTATTTGCCTGGTTTAATGCTAACTATCTCCACATTAATGGTGAAAAAACTCAAGCAATGATACTGGGAAAGTCTCAATATAGTTTTGATTTGAAAGTTGACAATCAAACTATCAAAGCTGAAGATACTTTGAAAATTCTGGGAGTAACATTAGGCGAAGAGCTGAATTTTAAACCTTATAACAAGGATACTCTTAGGAAAGTGTTTGCCAAGATTGTTGCCCTACGACGACTGAAACGTATGGTGCAAAAAGAAACAATAATTAAGCTTTATAAGGCTTATGTTCTACCGCAACTTGAATACTGTAGCCTATTGCTTATAGGCATAAGTAAAACACTTAAAAATAAATTAGAAAACGCCAATTATTATGGCTTACGTACATTGATGAAATTAGGAAGAAATGTGAGTTATGAATCGGTTTTGAATTTAGCAACTATGCGCTCACTTGAACACAGGAGAGTTGAGCAGTCATTAATACTATTCTATAAAAGTTTCAAGCAAAATGGCCCTACCTATATTTCTAATTCTTTTAAACTTCGTAATACTCCATATGCTTTAAGAGGTAGTGGTAATAGTGTGGTACAGGATGTGTATAACAGTCGTTATTTGTATAACTCCTATAAATATCTTATTTCCCATATTTGGAATCAGTTACCACTTTCTGCCAAGTCATCTACCTCATTATCTGAATTTAGAAACCAGATTCACCAATCTGATTTACTTGGCTGTCAATGCTATGCATGCATTTAGTATTAGTACATAGATTATTAATTAATTAATACCATGTAAATATTTTATATATTGGTAAATAGGTATTATTGTCGAGCACTTCTATCATGAGCCCCTGGCTCGAGTGATTGGGCAACCACGTACACTCTGTGTCATTCGACATTAAATAAATTATTCTATTCTATTATTCTATTCTATTCTAATGCAATGATTTATCATTTAACATTTCTGAAGAGGAGGTGCATTAATTTTCAGGTGAGGTACAAAATTATCTCAAGTGAGGTTCACACTTTCCTGCACTCCCCTCGAACTCTATCCACTAATTTTACCCTGAACATTTGGATGCACAGCCCATACTATGAATTGGCTTATCGTTGGTTGAGGTTTTTATGATATCCTGTGTTCTAATTGTTATTACTTATAGGAGAACGCTGAATCTGCATAACATTTTGTTGAGCGTCTGAAACCTTGATAGTTTCAGGTATTGAAAGAGAAATTGCGTATTTCTTTATAATATATTGGCTTATTGCAGCATGGATTGCTATATTAACTCCAAATGAGGAATCAAATACTGCCTTGTGAAACAGTGAAAGAAAACTTCTGATTGATGGGGATGTAACTACCTGAAGATTTATAAGGAGAACTTCCGACGTTTCGACCCGTTCGTATGAAAGTTAGTAATTTCCAGATGAAGGGCCTCTGAAGGCCTTCGCTTGAAACGTCAAAATTATTTTATTTTATTTTACAGATTTTGCCATTTAACACAAACTATTACACAAAATTAGTTAACACAAACTATTACACACAATAGATTACATGGCTGGAATTACCACACAGAGATTAGTTCTCCAATAACG